TTTCCCAAAATCAATTTCAACTGCACACTTTCCCCAAAAAATTCAAATAAATAAATAAATAAATAATGAAGAAATAAAATTTGGACATAGACCCAAAACTTTTTCTCACTTTTTAATCACACATTCTCCAAAAAAATTCACTATTTAGAAAATCTATTCAAAATATTGGGGTTCAAACAGGGGACAAAATACATGTCAAATTTTAAGCAGGCTGCAAGCCATACATCACTGAAGACTAGAAAGTACTGATGAAACTCAAGGTAATAACATCAGATTCCACACATTACAAGGCTGATGCCTCTCTTCAACCAGCATTTGACCTCTTTAAGAAAGCCAGGAATCTATTGCTTCCATTTATTCCTCTAATTTTTTATGTATCAGCCTAGAGTGAGTTTTAACTAGCATCACTACATCATGGTATCATATAATGGAACTTCTTCATGCAATCACCTTATTTTGCATATTGATATCTTGTGTTGGTCCACACGATTAATATTACACTATGATGAAAGGTGAACTTGTTAAATTGTGCCGTAGAGATCTAGAGCTCTTCCGTGTAGATTTTTAACAGACAACTGAATTTCCACTAAAAGCACTAGAGGTCCTACATCGGTACCTTATGCCAATAAAACACAATTCAACAACCAACAATACTTTCTGGAACAGAAACAAGCTATCAAGTGAACAAATGTTTTCAAGAAAATTCCGACTTCCTAAGGAAGAAAGAAGACCATCGAGAAAATTTCCTGGTCAAAACTTGAATAATTAAAATTTAGGGGAAAGGCTCAATGCAGTAGTTAGTTAGCTCTATTGGCAGCCTTCATCTCAATAATTTTGTTTTGGTGCTATCAATTAAAATCAATATCATGGCAGTGGGATTTTCTGAAAATTAATTTAGAATCAAATAAATGTTATACGTCCAAGATGATAGAAAATAAAATAGCCTAAATTTTCAGCTTTGAAAATATCTGCCCAAACTCATTAGTAAACTATAATTAAACTTGTATGCGAGACTCCTAACCACCATTCATGTGCTCAATCATTTTTATTTATTCTCCCATGGCTTCTTTTAATACATTTTCTGCATCTATAAAATCAAAATCTTAATAAACAATCTCTATCCATGAAGCCCACTATTTTTGCTCCATAAAAATCACCAAAGTTATTTCTCTCCATACTGTACATACACTCAAAACGAGCGCTAACTGTTTAAGAGGAAGTGAACACTGTAATTATATATGGTTATGGATGAAATATGAGATGTTGTACCTTTCTCAAATTTTTTACCATCTGGATTCAGTCCTTCAACTCGAAATATATCTTCAAAAAGGGTTTCCACCATCTTTGCAGCAGCAAAATACGCTAAACCAAATCCACAAAATTTATCAGAATATGACATGGATAACCTAATACGGGGAAAAAAAAAAAAAAAACCTCTATAACAGCCTAACAGTAATAGTAATTAGCAATTTGCCAATGAATATTAAAAAAAAATAAAAATCGCAAAGATAGGGAAGGAAACCTTAGTATTTCCGATGGTTTACGGATTCTATCCGAAAAGTGAAAACCCAACTCGCCGCCAATGCGTACATAAACAGCTAGAGAGAATCAATATTATGTTCTATTAACTAGCCCCTAAACTTTAAATTAAATTGATTTCACACCCCAAACTAGAGAAATATTACTTTTCACCCCGGGCCCTCAGCTTTTGAATAAATTATATTTTCAACATGGAAATTATGAATCTCAATTATTATTATTATTATTATTATTATTATTATTATTATTATTCCGCATATTTAATTTCATCTTTTGATGCATGCTAACTCTCGCATGTCATCATTTACCCTTTTGATGGACGCTTTCAATTTTAAGATTCAATGACACGTATTTTGATTTTTTTTTTTTCTCAACTCTTGAAGATTTGAACCAAAATTCATTTTCATTTGGTATACGATCAAGATTAGTGGTCAATTAATTGTATTTCAAAAATGGACTTGAGCACCATTTCAATTTTCTTTTAGCGAGGTTATATTGCTCTTATAGTGGAGCAAGCAGACTAGCTGTAGTTGGCCTTGGAGATGTTGAATTTTGGCACAAAAAGACTTCTCCACATGCAGTGACGAATCCAGAGTTAAAGTTTAGTTAGAGTGGCCATTGACTATTGACCATCGATAGTCAATGA